ACATGTAAACTTAAAATTGGTTCTGTATATAATCACTCCATTATTATTGTGATATTTTTCTAAAAATTTATTGATTACACCCTCCTAAAGATCCACCCCTATTGACATAAGCTATCATTTGGACAACGACTGTACCATTCAGCAAAGCCACGAACATGTTAATTAACGAATGGTTCGAATCGCCGGAACTGCTACAACTGCCAACCCGAACCTAAACCAATTACAATTGCTGGCCAAAATTGCATCTGTCAATGGCATCAATGTTCGATTTTTGTCACACATGACATGAGTTGCAGTTTGACAGGGGCCAAAGTGTAGCAGGTGCCACAAATCGAACGACGATTGTTGAACACGGTGCGGGATACCACCCACCGTAAAATATAATCCAGTTCAATGTGCCATTTTCCAAAGCCCCAAAAGTGTTGCTATGGGCTGTGAGCGAAGTGAAATTGATTTCAATTAGCAATGTACTACTATTTTTTATTTGCTACCCTTTAATTATTCATGGCCGCGTAATGAGCCCAAATGAATGATAAATTTAGGAGGGGCGTGCAGAGGCGCAGCACCATGAATGCCAATTCAGGCAACTGGGTTACGGCCAGGCAATTTGGCCAAAACTTGCAGCTGATGTCGCCACTCCATGATTTGCATTAGCCACGCCCTAGGAGCTTCGATCTCCCTCTTTTTTGGTAGCCCAACAGAATGCAGTTTTTTGTGCGGTGCATGTTGCACGTCATGTTGGCCATGTTGCAGCCGAGCCAGCTGAGCGCGCCCCCTGATTTATGACCTCGGGTGTTTATTTGCTAACCGTGTCCGAAAGTTGCCCACCCGAGATTTATGGGCACCCCGAAGACAGACCGCACGCGCAGCTTCTTGAGTCGTTGAATAAACTGCACTAATAAGTTGGGGAGTTTAGGCCAAGTGGCTGAGAGTCCGAGGTTGCCAGAAATGCCACAAGATACAGGGCAATAGACAAAACAAATGTTGGCAGAAGTTTACAAAGTTTTCAGGGCTCGAAAGGGGCAAGCAGCATAAATCGTTTTATTGAGCGCGTCAGGCAAAAAGTTGCAACAGCAGCAGCAGCAGCAGCAAGACAGCAATTTGCCAGCGAGGCCCAAGATGGGATAACCGGCACAATAAAGCGTAAAACTTTTGCAAACATGGCCTGGAAAGAAAATTGGCAACAGAAGGCAGCGCTCAAAAGTCCAGGCCAATTGTTAATGGCTAATTATTTGGAGCTAACGTTTTTCCAATGCTGCCTGGCCAATGTGAGCAAAAAAACCCAAAGACAAAACCGAACAGTTCTTGGCACATTTCACACTGGAGGGACAGACAAGAAATGCACATAAATTTTACTTAGCCAAGTTCCAAAGAGTTTCGCCTGCCAAGTGGCAGCCAAAAGAAGTCAAAAGAAGTGCAAAGAGCGATAACAACAATAAGTTGCGAGCATTGCTCGAATGCACAATGCAAGTGGCGATAGTTTGCCATAGTTCAGCCATTGCCAATCCCTCGATTACCCCTTAAAGGCAATCCCATGGCTTTGATGAAACGCTCAATAGTTGTTTGGCAAAAGGGGTGCCATTATTCAGTGCTGCACGGCTCAGGCCTTTGTACTTTTATTTCAGTACTTTTTGCATTACAGAACATTCAATAGAATCAATACGAAAATTCGTTTTTTTATGTTAGAATAGCTGTTCAAAATTTAATATTAAAATTAAAATATTTTCTTGTTTGTCCTTAGCTACATTTTTTTCAAATACCTTCCACTTTACCTCGATAAAGGAAAGCCTCTACCATCTCTGGTACTATCCTTTTAGTGTCGGGGCAAATGGGAAGTCGCCAGCAAAATTTATGCGAGTTTAACAAGCAGCTAGCAACAGAAAGGTTCCGTTACACTTTCTTGCAGCAAATAGGCATAAATTTGTATTTAATGTAGTCGACAAAAACGTCAGGAAAAAATGAGCAGCAAAAATGGCAAAAAAATTATTCTGCTATTTAGTATATAATTTCCTGGAATAGTCTTGGTTGGTGTGGTCTGGTTTTTGGATCCGTGGTCCGGTCTGCAGTCGCCAGGTGCCATTAAAGCCGCATAAATTTTTTAAACTTTTGCCAATTTGCATTGCAAATGCTCCTCACACACACACACGTAGCACATGGCTAATATACACATGTGCAAGCGTTTGTATTTTCGCGTTCTGCATGTGGTTTCAAAAGCGTTTGGGTCAGTCTATTAAAATGCAAAGGGCCGCCACTCCATGGCCCACACTCTCTCTCCTTTTCGCCAGCCGGAAGTCCATTTTGTCTTGTCGTTCACATCATAAATATGGACGGTCAAATGGCGGCCCTGTTTATGGCTAAGTCCTGTCTGTATGTATGTGTGTGTTGCCGCTTTTAATGACAATTTGTTGTGGCTTGCATAAAATTTCGACGAATTTCATTTGGCACACATTCAACACCCGTTTCAGTCGTCTTCATTTTATACTTCCTTTTTTTTTGTGCCAGGCATAAATTTAAATGATTTTCGCTTTTGACGCTTTCCCTCACAACTTGCCAGTGAAGTGGCAGTGGCCTTTGGAGTATGTCTGTGTTTGTGGTTTACGACAGGTTCTGTTGCCATTTTACGATAAAGTGGTGGTGGATTGGTTGCCACTCTTGGTCAATTGTCTGGCCTTTTCGGCTTAGGCCATCGCTCAGCCATTAAATTTTCAATCAATCTAATCATTATCAATATATATATATATATCTGCGGAGAGTCAGCATTCCATTTGCCACAATTCGAATGTCTTATTCATGCGCCTGCGGTTATGCAATGATAAATTTATGGCTAGGCCTGGGCGTGGTCAGCTCGTCTCAATGTCGCCCGAAATGCTGCAATATTCACTTGGAATCGATATAAATATATGTATATATTTTATGTAGCGTTCAAGATCAAAGCCTGCTTTTTAAATTTGCCAGTTAAAGTCCCCGATATGACAGCTGTGTAATTGCAGAGATGTGCGAAAGTGGAGTAACATTTTTATTTTGCAGTGTGCTTGTCTGTGTTTTTGGTTTATTATTTTCCACACGGGTGCTTCGACATGACGAAATTCACTAGCCCCCAAAAAACAACAAATAAAGAGAAGGGAACACTACACCAAGATGGGAACGAAGACATCGACAAAGTTGTCGTCGCTTCGCTCTCACTGCTTGTCACTTAAAGCGAAAAACAATTTTTCTCCAGTTGAAGAAGTGTACGTGTGCATGTGTGTGTGGAAGCTATCTGAAAACCAATTTTCGTTGCTAAATTGATGTTTATAGCTATGTACGAGCACGCCGACGACGGCGATGAGAATGACGATGAAGATGACGATGATGCGGCCGTCGATGGCTATGATGAGCTTGTTGCGGCCACCGCTCGGCGTCCCTGATGAAGACAAAGTGCCAATGCGAAAAACTAAACGCCCAGCTCCCAAACAAGCCAAGTCAAGCCATTGCACACTGAGAAAAAATATCAACTCTGACGAATTTCAAGAAAAGTTAATTATTTATTAAGAAAAATTGACTTAATGTTTTAAAAGTCTAATTAATCCTTTTTTTGAAATGGTAAGGTCACACTGACCCGAAAAAAGTTCAAAAGATACTATGGTTACTCTAATTGGCTTGCAGATTTATTTGAAACAGAGCTCTGCTGCTTTTCTCTTGGTGTACTGCAAGTGGAACTTGCTTCCAGAATGCGGCAATGAAAATCCTTTTCGTCGCGACTCGAATCAACTCTACTCGCCGAGCTTTTCCCTCCCCCATTCTTCATTTGACAGCATTTTGATGCTTCCGCTTGTAATTTATGTGACACTTGCAGTGCCATAGATCAGGCTGGCGGGGGCAAGTCATGAGACTGCTAGTTTCTGCAGCCATATCCTTGTTTTTATTGGGTCCTTGCTACTTGGGAGCTGCTTTTGTGCGGGCGCTTGATTTCCTCGAGCAAATTTGATCAATTGAAACGGGCGATAAACGGGTAGGTACGACAGGTAATCCGCATTCTGCACTCAGTTAATTAGATTGCACAGGAAGTGCACATAAATAAACAATTAGGTGGCAGCAGATTACCCAGGCGTGCACTTGCAATTGCTGCATATTAATTGAAGCTCACTCGCACACATCGTCCTCAAGTTGGATTCCATTCCACGTCATCCTCATCCCCCAAGTGAACTGAGTCATCAGCCCTCGGATTTCCTCTAAAGTCTCCTTCACATTGGGGAGTAATTTAAAACGCTCCTGCTGGTGAATGCATTTGAAATGCTTTTCCACCGCTTACAACTGGATGCGCCCGAGTCGCACCCCACGAACTGGAGTGCATCTGCCAGTTCCAACGCCATTATCTTGGGCATATGTCTAAGTCAGATCAAAGCCATAATGCTGGCTGAGTGCAAGTGGGGTGTAAGTGCGGATGACAGCGATATTAGGACCAATTATATGTCCGACTTTGCCGGAGAGCATCACGGCGAAACGAATTGCATTTATAACAGAGTGCTGGAAAATCAGATTCTGCGGTGATCAAAGCCCAGCCTCAAGCAGCCGTCACATTAAGTTTGACAAAGATGCAGTCTGAATATTTCCTCTTGCTAGTTGATATTGCTTGGAACTACGACCATTTCATTTCGTTCATGTACATTCAATTTAGTGATGACATTTATTGCATCTGTTGTTGATGTACGGCTAACAACTAATAAATAAATATTATAGTAATTATTAGGTACTGTACTATAACAAAAACAAAGAATAGCTTTTAGAAAACACGTTTTCAACCTAAAAAATATGGTTGAAATTCAGTATTATTACTAAATTCGTACTAAGTCTTAAAAATGTTTAACTTATTTTCTTTTTAATAATAAAATATTTTTAAGTAATTTAAAATATATGGCTGATCACGTTCATGCCTAAAATAAAAAACCTTCATATATTTACTTAAGGCACGGCACGGTTCATTCATGAGTAAAGTACACTTGCAGCAAACGAACTCAGGTGTTTGTTAGATATTTAAACAGCCGACTATTTAAATTAGATTCAGGGTTATTAATATTAGTGCTCGAGAGCAACCGTCAAAAACGAAGTGTTTCCGAGTTTTGTTAGACATTCGACCACATCTACTCGCCGCTTAAGGAAAGAAACAAACCATTCAATTCACTCTCGCCCGTCATGAATCTACCGATCTGGATGTGCCTCCTTGGCTGTCTGGCCAGTGCTAGTGGTTTTTTCTTCGATTTACCAAAGGCAAATCACCATTCGCCAGGCATTTTCGGAGCGATTGGTGATGCAACAGTTAAGATTGATGGTCTATTTCAGCAGTTTACAAAGGTAAAATGACACAAAAAGTTTTAAATATTTGTTTGTTTTTTTGTTCTAAATAATATCTAAATGAAAAAACACTAAAACGTCGGTAGGAAAAAAACCTAAAAATTAATTAGAGTCCAAAAGTTCCCATAAAAAGACTTTGAAAGTGCTTTTAAACACAAACTCATATAAAATTTAATGAAGTTTAGTAAAAAGATCTCAAAAGGCTTCTTTAGTTATCATTAAAGTTCGGAATATAATTTTTTAGTTCGGAAAATATATGTACAATTTTTTTTATCGTTTTTAAGTCCAAAATAATACCAAATACTCAACTTCAAAATCAGACTATGTAAAGAAGCTTTTACCAAATATACAGCTCTTTGTTTACACAATTGCTTTTCATTTCAAATTGATTGTGTTTACTTTTTATTCTAACTTTACCGAAATTTTCGCAAATATATTTCTGTTTAACCACAAATGAATTTAGGCTGACTTATTATTTTCCTTTATTTGCTTTATTGTTAAAAATTGACATTTTCAAAACTGAAATTTATCAAAACAATTTTCTGTGCAGGACATTTTGGGTGGGCTGAACATTTTTGGTGGTGGCCATAATGCCAAGAAGCCCGATTCCTCTTCCACGCCCCCAACAACAACAGCTGCTGAGACAGAAACACCAACAACAACGCCCCCAACAACATCAACTGCTGAGTCAGAAACACCAACAACAACGCCGGCAACAACAACAACTGCTGAGACAGAAACACCAACAACAACGCCGCCAACAACAACAACTGCTGAGCCAGAAACACCAACAACAACGCCTCCAACAACATCCACTGCTGAGATCGAAACAGAAACAACAACGCCGCCAACAACATCAACTGCAGAGATAGAAACAGAAACAACCACGCCGGCAACAACTGAGGAATCTGGAAACGAGTCGGCAGAGGAAAGTACAACAATAGCTTCAGACTCAAGTACATCGGCTCCATGAGGAGATATTCTGTCGCTTAACCTTCGTATCGGCTATTGCTCGCTTTTGTTTTTTCCTGAGCTACTTTGTACTGGTATTTAAACAACCGGAATGCAAATATAAGTACCAGTCACCAAATTTAACGCGCGTGTCTTCAATATTCCTATATTTACTCAAATGTTTGAAAGATTCGGGGTAGTACAGAACGAATTTTTCCTATTATCAGTCGCTGATCGACAATGTCTCAGTTAAGTAATTGCCTGTTCATCCTTTTCCTAACGATCCAATGGCTGGGTTTTGTTCTGCCAGCACCCACTGTGAGTCAAGAAGATATATCCCAACGTCTTGGGGTTTATGAGATGGAAATTGGCAGAGAAGACGATCTACTGCCTGAATTGGAGATTCAATTATTGCGGGCACAAATGGATCAGGATGGTGAGTTTGATCAATTCACAGAACCAGATATATTTTCTTAATGAACTGGTATTGTCTAGGTCTGGAAGTGCTTCGAATGCAATTAATGCAGCTAAACTTGCTGAAGCTCTTAATTGCCCTGGACTGCTTTATACTGTTATGCATTTTTTTTTACGCAAGAGAACAAAGATTTCGTCTAGTCCAAGTAATGTAATCTATCATGACAATTAGTTTTTGATATTTCGATGATGAAATCAAATGAATTTATAACATAGTCTGCTAAGGAGAGAACGAATTAAGAATTCACTTGACACCTCTCCAATATCTTATAAAAGATTATTTATATCTGCGATATATCAGAATAAAAGTTATATTTTAATTTATTTTTATTTAAGTTTATAGGTTTAAATTGAAAAAAAAAACTTTTAGCTTACTTACGGTTATTTTAAAATAAATTGACCTTAAATTAATTTTCATATATGAAGCTTTAACAGTCTGCTTTAAATAAACTGTTATTGAATAATTATGAGCCAATTCACGCCTGATGTTTGTTTCGGTTCGGCCGCCGTTCAATTTAAAGCGAATTCCGGCAACATAGTTTTGGCCACCGAATGCATCGTTAAATATCGACAACAGTTGGCTCTATTCGGTTGTTTGAACTTTTAGTTCATAAATATTAACAGCTATTAAAGCAAACACACAGCACGTTCAGGGCCAGCAAATAACGGCTAAAAATTAATTTTAAAATTTAAAACTAACTGCATGCAATTTACGCGCAATTTGGCAGTCGCTTGCAATGTAAAATGCATCGCCTGGAAATGGGAAAATGCCATCAGGTGGTTTGCATTTAAGGCGGCGGCTCAGCCTCTCGCCTAATGTTCATTTAATTAAAAGCGGAAATTGAGCAAGTGAGCCAGCAGTGACCAAGCGGCAGCCAAGCGGCGAGCCGTGGCCAAAAGAGTGTCCTAAGTGGCCGGGATGCTCTGTTCTCAACTTTTTCCCAAGTCGGAGGAAATATTAAAAACGGAAAACACTTTGGGGCAACTAATTCTCACTGGCTTGCTTTCGACACGACTTCCACTCGGCTGTCCTTTGCCATGTTTTCCTATTATTTTATACACACTTTTTTGGCAGCTTTCTTGGCCTGAAAAGTCTTGGCAAAAAGGGCGGCATAGCGAAACGAGTTGAGTTGTGTGTGGAAGTGGAAGTGGAAGTAGAAGTGGGAGAAAAGTGAAGTCGAGTGGCGAGGAAAAAGGAAGCAAGGCGGCGCAATTAGCAAGTTTACTGCATGAAATTATGAAACGCTTAATAAAAGCATGCTTGGGCGAAAGCGTACGGGAAAAAAGGGTCGAAAGAAGGAATATTCGTACAATATATTAAAACACAGAGCTTCACAAGTGTCGGCAAGTTAATTAAAAGACTTGCATATTTGAAAAGTTTTGCCCTCGGTTTTTCCCATAGCCATCACATCACCATTACTGGTATCCATCTGCCCCATCATCAGCGTACTCGGGGCTGCAATTTAATCATGTAAGTGCTGGCAAATTGTTGGCTAAAATTAGAGCCAGACAAATATTGCGCATACGCCTAGTATCCGCGTTAAAAGGATGTTTCTGGCGTTGCTGTTGTGGTCGCTGTGTTGCTGCCATTGCTGTTGTTGCTGTTGCCAAGTTTTATGCTAATGGTTTTCGTTTAAAGCCAAAAGTAATTTATTGTTGTCAGCGGGCGCCATCAAAAATGTTGCTGCACATTCATTATGCCCCCGAATGTGTAAGTGTTGGTGTATATCTGTGTTCGGCAGTACACTCTCATGTGTGCACGGCATGCATTAAAATTTTAGCCAACAAAACAAAGCCGCCTGTCAGCCGAAAGACTTGCATAGAAATCAAGTTAGCCAGGAGGAAAAATGCAGCCAAAAAGAGAACGAAATGTTTTCTCTGGCGATTTCTTATTTGCCATAGCATTGCTAAACACCCCCTAAATGTGTACTAAATTAATTTAATTTGCGAATGTTTTTTTCAGCCAGCTGGCAAGGGGAAGCAAACAAATGTCGAGTGCTTAAGCCTTAACTAAATTTAAATATTTTACTCTGGCAACAGCAAGACCATTTTTCTCTATGCCACGGTGACACGTTCTCGACCCGCTGGCTCGCTGGCTGGCCGGGGAAAACTATGCCACAAGATAAAACAGCCGCGAACTTTGCAACATGTTTACGGTAAAAACGTGATTTTCGGCACAAAAACCGGAGAGCGCTTGACCAAATGTGGCCAGGATCTCGAACCCTTTGCCAACTGTAAATAAGTTGAGTTAAGCGACGAGGCACGCGCAGCGTGAGCCGCCCACAAACCAAGGCAAATGCCCGACCACAGCCATAAAAATTAAACATTTGTAGCTTTGTCACGTTTGTGTTGACACTTTCTTATCACAGTCGGGCGCAATGCGGGGCCCCCGTTCCCCCCACCCACTCCCTACACTTCCGTTTCCTGCTCATCCCAGTCAAAAGCCACCCACTCCGCCCACTCGACCCGGCCTAAATATGTGCGTGTGCGTGTCAGCTTTGACTGCCGGCGTGACCCACCTGACCCCGGCTGAAATAAAACTTCAGGTGAGTGTGTGGGACTGACACCGACTACCCACCGACTCCCCACCGACTGCCCCTCCCCCAATGCCCCCAAACCACCACCAGAACTACGCAACCACCCAACCACCCCACCACCGAACCCACTTCACACAGCATATGCTGTGCGATTTCATTAAAAGCCGGGCAAGTGCGGCAACGTGTCAGACTGATTCTGGATGCCAAATGCTGAGTTTGTGGCTAAGACCCAGCCGCATGCCAAATGCCAACTTGGCGGGTTCTAGTGCCAGTTTTCGGTGGTATAATTTGCGTTTTCTAATTAAGTGCGATTAGGACGACAGGTGATCCTTGCAAATGGATTTTTATCGTGGAATGAGATCTTAATAAAATTGTTGTGCTGAATTTTTGGTATCGAACACTTTAAATAAAATTTATTTGTGGATTTATTTAAATAGTAGTATGTCTTCTTACAGATACATTTTTATTCAGATCCATTTGAGTAAAAATAAGGAAATCAAACTAGATGCTCTAAGTTTTTTGCCTAAGAACCTTCACAGAAATCTGCACTTAATGACATTCCAATTCAGGTATTTTATTGTATTTTTCTATTTAATCTATTCAACTATTCCGGTTGCAATAATTGTTTTTACGAAGTGTTAAGGAAGTTTTAGTTGAAAAATAATACATCATAGACAGCAATTGTTCAGAGTTTTGTTTTATGACGAATTACTCTGTTCGGTTTTATAGCTGTATCAAAAATGAAAAATGAAATGAAATGTACACCATAACTAGTTCCCGCTCTTCAATTAAAAATCTCTTTTCTGCATATGGACTAAGGAAACTAGCAATTTGCATTACAGTTTGAAGGCAATCCTCTCAATTGCCGAACATAAAGTGATTTTGTTGGCTCAGTTTTTAATACTCCTTCAGAAGTTGGCTCTCAGAGCGATATTTGCATGTGGCCCAAGTGCTGGGCCATATTTTTTGGTCAGATGCCCGGGCCACAGACTCCTGAATATGCACTCTATTCCGACCGACACTCCGGCCAAGGTTTTGAGCTCCTAATGCGTTCCTTTTGCCTTCAGGATGGGCTCGATAATTTCATTTGCATATTGTATACCGGGCACTGTTGCTCCTCGCATGCTGAGATACATTTTGGGGCTGAAATTTATGACATGCCATTTGCGCTCGAGTTTTAGGTGGAGTAGCAGTCCTCTGGGATCTTCGGGAGGCGACTTGGCAACTTTGTTGCCATGCAACTTTAATCAGTTGACGCACGAGACCTCAAAACTTGACACCCAAAGGCTTTAAATTGAAAAAGTTTAATGAGCATGCGTGTTTGGTTGAGGAAGGCATCCTTTTTAGTCGTGGTTTTCCCGTGTCTTTGTGTCCTGATGCAATGATATACACAGAAAAAAATAAATGTGAGGATCAATTTCATCATAACAGATCCATTTTATATTTACAAAATCAAAAAAGGGAAAAAAAGTTAGTTAGCGATTAAAAGTACCTTGATTTGGAGGGGATCAAGTCGAAATTCAAACGGCCGTATTTCGAAATTGTTGTCCTGCTTATGCACTAACATTCGAACATATCAAGTATTTTTTAACATTTATTTTTTTCTGTGTAGGTATGCCGAGTGCACTCTTATTGAGAATTGCCTGTCTCCCTTTGTCCCATCATATTTAACCTGAAATGAAAGGCAAGCATCTGGAGGGATATATTATTTGAATTTTGCTCGGAGCTTTTCTCGCAAAGTTTCCTGCTGGCCGCATGCGACAAAGAAGTTGGAAAAAGTGCCAAGTAAAAGTCCTTTGGCGTGTGGCATTGCTTATTGCTGGCAATTCAATTAAATGCAGAGCTGCATGAAATACCCTTTGAGAGGAGTGGGCGTGTGTGGGTAGCTGGTTGCGCATCGGAAATCCATAAAATGCATCACATGCCATCAAAGGCTCAAAAGTTTTTTTCCAAAGGTGCCAGGACATTTATTATTCGGCAGGCGTTGTGTGCAGATTTTTTTTTCGGCACTCACACAGCTCTATTTGTCTCAATTGCAATCAAACTTTGTGGCTCCCAGTAAGTTCCTTTCCCCATTTCGGTTTTCTTTTCCCATTTTGTCACGCAAATTGCACAAAAGTTGGATTGACTTGAGCGGGAAATTAAGTTGATGGTTTTTCCTTGCCATTCTCAAGTCCTGATTCTCTAGTCAGCTACTGAGACCTTTGTCAGTTTGCCGTTCTGTTTGCTTTACTCGTCTAGCGATGTCAGCACCGCGTGCCTTGTACTTTACTTACTTATTTAACTTGCAATTTTGACAAAATTTCGCAAGCATATTAAAAAGTTTTTGGCTAGCTTGTAAGTGGCGCACTCGCCTGAAATAATAGCTGGCTGCTGGCAAGGATGCACCATTTAATTGCAGCAGCTTAAGAAAATCAAGAGTGCACACAAAACACAGAGCAGAACAAAACAGCACAGCGAGGAGACTAAGACAAAACCAGAGAAGCCCCCGAAAAAGGGAAGATAAAGCCGGGCCGCAATGCACTCAAGCGCATTGACGTCCAACTAGCTTTGACTTGTGCCAAGCCAAGCGGAGATGGGCCAAAGTAGCTTGGTTGACAACCAAACCTAGCAAAACCAAACCAAACCGAACCAAGCCGGGCCGGGCCAAAGTGAGCTCTCGGCTCGTCCCACCGTGAAAATCAATTGGGCACTGCGCAAGATGCTGCCCAGGCTCCCCTGCTGGGCCACCGGGCTCCCCTGGCGACGCCTGTTTGTCTGCACTGGAACATTTCCAATTCAAGAACAAAGGAATGGAAAATCTACCTAAAACAAGAACAAAATTTCATTCAAAATATTTGTTTTTGGCAAATATATCATTTATTTAACATAGTAAGGTCTCCTTTAAATGCTAGTTTACAATTTCATAC